TAAAATAAAATAAAATAAAATAATTTTAAAGGGATTTGCTCTCCATGAAGAGGGCTAAGTGGTGCAGCCTGTTGCCCTGGATCTAGGAGTGTGGGCAGAGGCTGCTGAGTGCTGACAGCTTAAAGTGCTCCTATACTGGGACAGAGCAGCAAAGAGACCAGAGGCAGCTGCCTGCTCTGGAGCATCACACAGAAGTTAAATGCCACTTTTAAAGCCTGTTGCAAAGTTATAAAGAAAAGCAGGCAGGAGGCATTGGTGCAAAGCAGCACTGGAAAATGAGCCATGAAGGTTTTCCATGCATCCAGTGGGAATGCGGAATGCACTCTGCAATTTTGGACTCTCCAGTGCACCCTCTGCCACCAGTCCCTCAGGCACATTTGTTTCTCACCTGCTCCACAAGTGTTGGATTCTCAGAAAAACACATGGAAAAAAACCCTGGCAAAGTAACAAGGTTTGCCTAACACTCTGTGAAAGAGAGTCAAGCCCTGGTAGAGAAACCATCATCAGTTTAATAGGGACCTGCAGTCCTTGTTGTGTCAGGATGTCGGGTTCAAAAGCATCTCAGGGCTGACTTATCTGACTGCTCACAGATCTCCTTGGAAATACATAAATGCCGGTGCAACCGATGGTTTCCAAACTCAGCTCAAATTTTTACAATGGGCTGAGCCTCCTGTAAAGCATCACCAAGGCAGCTCTTCATAATAACGTGGCTGGGAGGAAACGGCCAAAATGTTTACTGAATAAATTCAAAAGTTTTCCAAGAACAAATAAAATAAGAGGGAAAACAAAGAAAGAATTTAATATGCCGCCCACAACTGCCTGGAAAGCATAGTGATTCAGCTACAGAAATTTCATGCAGGGAGGGGGGATCCAGGGCTGGAAAGGCAGGGAGCAGTGGTCACTTATCTTTCCAGAGGGTAAGGGATGGGGGGGAAGCAGAGCTCATAGATAAAAGCTCATGTTTTATGTTTTTATCAGTGCCGTGCTGTTTCTTTGCTTGTTAGTCCAAGCTTAGATAAAGGAGGTGCACAAATCCTAAAAGGAACACTAAACCTTTTTGTTCCTGACTTTTTACAAAAGAAATAATTTTTTAAAACCAGGCACAAATCACTATCCAGACGCTCCCCAAACGCCATGTGCGGGTCCAGTCCATGTGGGGCGCGGGCAGTGTGCCTCCCGCAGTCCCAGCAGGAAGCACCTTGGCAGCCACCCTGGCCCCAGCCCCGGCACAGGAAGGGCAGAGCCATTTCTCACTGACAAAGGAAAGCAAGTCCCAGCTCTCTGCTCCGGAATCAGGCAGGCAGAGGCTGCTCCACCTGCTCTGCTGGCACATTTGGGAACCAATTGTCATTCCCTGACAGAGCCATGGCAGTACGTCTTCCCCTCCATTCATGAAATGTTTTGGCTTGCCCTAAACTAGCCCCAGTGGAAACCACATTGTGGAGTGAACAAAATTGCACAGGTCATCCACAAGTTTAGTAGGATTTGGATTTAACTGCAACCTTGGCTACATCCCAAAGCTGCACAGCTCAGCTATCACCCCAGGAGTCTCCATGACACCACAACAGCTCAGAGTGGATCTTCCCACCATCAGCTCAGACTCTTGTTTTCTGCCAACTTCCTACCTCCAACACTGCCATTACTGCTATGGAATGTGTGTGAGTGCCTCAGGAAAGGGGACAGGGGATTAATCAGTTCAGTGAGGTTACTTACCACCAAATACAGCATGGTGTACAGGGAGAAAGATGCATGCCCAGAGAAGAAGGATTTCCTGCAAAACAAAGCAGGTGCTAAGAACAAGTCACTATAATCTTCAGTACTATAATTTTACATGCAACATGGTGACTTGCCTGTGGTTACTGAGGGTGCCAAAGCAGAGGGACCCACAACCCCCAATCCTTTGGATTATAAAACCTCTGTTATCCGCCCTGCTTGCTCATGAGGCAGAAAGCAAACGGATGGACAGGATGCTCACATTGTTTGTCCCTTCCTGGTCTACTCATGGGACAGCAGTTATTTCCAGGATAACCCGATAACTCATCATCTCGCCTCAAATAACCAGGAAACCCCAAAGAAATAAGAAGCAAGCAACTTCTCCGGTTGCTTAATTGCAGCATGTGAAATGTGCAGTAAAGTCAAAATTGAGCATCTGATGGATTCGACAGAGAGCTGGAAGGGGAGGCACTGACAGCTCTGCCTGCATGGTGGAGCCTTTCTGGAGGAGAAGCTCTCTGCTCCTCCATACAGGACAGCTCGGTATGCTCACCATGAGCTCAGCTCATGGGTGAATTCCCACATTGAGCAACTGCTCAGGGAAACAATAGTGTAGGAGTAAAGAGAAAGGGAAAGAAATATTATTCAGCTGAGTGCCACACTTCCCAAGGGAAACTGCTGGTCACTGGAAAACAGATTTGCTGCCTTTGCAGAAAAAGCAGCATTTCATACAATCCTAGACTGATATGGGTTGGAAGGCACATTAAAGACCATCTAGTTCCACTCTCCTGTCATGGGCAGGGACACCTTCCACTAGATCAGGTTGCCCAAAGCCCCATCCAACCTGCTCTTGAACACTTTCAGGGATGGGGCATCCACAGCTTCTCTGGGCAACCTGTGCCAGTGCTTCAGCACCCTCATAGGGAAGAATTTTTTCCTAAGATCTTATCTAAACCTACTCTCTTTCAGATTTGAATCATCTTTTGCTGGCAGATAAACTCCTGAGACATATTTAGTGTCAGCAACCCATCGCTTTCGTGCCACAGGCTCTCACCTGGCTTCCTGGACCGAGCTGTCATTTCCCCTGCAGGTGTAGTTATTGATGTAAACTCCCTTAGCGCAGTTGATGGTGGAGAAATCCACATCACAAACTGCCAGGAAATGTGGCCGCAAGCGCCCAACGGACACTTTGGCAATGTCTGTGAAGGACTGGCTGATGGCACAGCCAAAAACGAAACAGCCCACTTGCTTGTAGAGTGCTGCCACATAGGGGTTCTGGATAAAGGAGCGGGATTTCTCCTTCAGGTAGTGGATGCGGTAGAGCTCTCCTGTTATAATCTGTGGGGGAAACACAAGAGATGTTAGGGAGTAGGAAAAATGCTGTGCAAAACCAGTGATGGGTGTAAATGCAGGGCTGAGAGCACTTCATGCTCTGAGCATCTCAAACCAGTAATCTGCTCGCACAGTGAGGAAGGACAGCCCAATGTCTCTTCATCCTCCTCCTCTTTCCTTTCAAGAAGAGACTGCAATGCTTGGAATGTTGTTTATGGAAAAATTCAATAAACAAAACAAAATAAAAAAAACCAAGGTAGACTTTGGCTTAGCACGTTGGCATATCTTTACAGAAGTGAAAGAACACAGAGCCTGACAGAGTTCAAGAGGTGTTTGGACAACAGTCACAGGCACATGGTGTGATTATCAGGGACGTCCTGTGCAGGGCCAGGAGCTGGACTAGATGATCCTCAAGGGTCTCTTCCAACTCTGATCATTTAGTGATTCTGTGAGAACTCCAGCATAGTGGGAAAAAATCTTAACATAAACCAGATAAAGAATCAGTGTGTGTTGGGAATGAGAGGCCAGACCCACTCCCCTCTTATCAAACTGATTTTGGAGGAAAATAAACTAACAACCTGCTTATCATACTCTCATAGAATCATTAACACAACAGGGGAAGCATGAAAAAGCCCCAAACTTTTCAGATTCTGGTCCAAAATTTGCTGCCACCAAACCCAGCTCAAGCCTCTCCAAGCCTCAATAGATGCCAGCTATTCTGGGGCATTTCAAGGGGTCATGCCCTTGCCTGGCAGCAAGTTATGCTTTTCTTGTGTCAGGGGAGTTGAGGTTTGACAGTATCACCATAAATCACTGTCAGGGAGCAAAAGACCCAACTTCTCACAATGACTCTTAAAAGGCAGGTTAATGAAAATCAGGCTGTGAAATGAAGTCCAAATGTCTCACCTCTTCCAAAGAGGCAAAGGCTTAAATTGTTCTCCGTCACGCTACACACCTAAGTTTTAAACTCCAGATTTACAGCTTTAGGATTTTATTCATTACTTTACATGTTTTTATACCTGAGTAATAAATTGAGGCAGAATTTTTTTTTTGGATGCCCCTTTGTCTCTGCCTCTCTCTAGTCACAAGGACCATGATATGTAAAATTAACTGTCAGGAAAAATGCCTTCATGTTAATCCCTTTCTGGAGCAGCCAGTAATATTCCTCTCAGCATGGCAGCCTGCCATCCATAAGCAGGAGACAAGGCTCCCCTGCCTACCTTTTTTAAAAGCTTGGCACAACCTTTGGAAACTAATAAACTGGAAAAGTATGGCAATTAGACTAAGAGGAGATGAAGCTGTGTCATTGTTTGATCTCACTTGTACCAGGGCTTGAAAAAACAAAGGTTGACCTAAGGCAGCTGAAATTGCAGCTAAGCAAAGCTTTATCAAAGAGAGATACAACTATAATAATTAAAAGTAAAGGCCAAGCTAGACCACTCTACTACCATGCACAGAAATGCTTTGGGTGGCTGCACCATCATTCGGGGTTTTCATGTCACCACTGAGATTTACTCTTGGAAATCTGATGCTTGGAATCTTCTCTTGGAACTCCTGGACCAGGGAGCTGCAGCAAACTGGCTTCAGCATCATTTTAATCCTTACAGTCTCCAAAGACTTCATCTCCATTCTGGACCACTTTCCAGCACAAGCTGGCAGCCAGGAAACCTGCTGGCATGAGAACTGCAGAGGGAGGTTGTCCTGGATGGACACAGAGGCCCCTGCACAAGAGCAGGCCACTGCCACAGCTGCCCAAAAGCCTAAATCCACAAGAAGGGGCACCATGAGGCTTGAAACTCATGGCTTTCACACAGGAAAGACAAGACAAATTAAGGATGATATCTGATACTGGCAGATGTGCCATTACTCCAAACTCACAAACAGATCCATGTAAACCTGAGGCTCTTGGCCTGGGAAAGGCATGTGACCATTTAAAATGGGGACCAACAAAAGTCTGGGGATTAATATTTTTTTCTCACTGTTGGTGGTCTGGGTAATTGCACACATGTAGCAGATTGTAAATTGGAGCCTTCATTCCCTTGCTAACATGCTGCTGGGCAGCTATGAACCCTCCCCGCTTAGTGAAAGCCATGTATCAAGCTTAATGAGAAGCTAAAAATCGAGTAAACTTGGTTTTTTGGCAGCTGCTGTCCCAGATAGAGCAGGACAGTGAAAAAACTAATGCAGCACAGAGTGCATGAACTGAAAGGACATTCTGAGAAGAAAGCAAGTTTTAAAGATATTAAGTTCTTCTCATGTCTTGCACTTCTGGCGAGCCATCCACGTGGGACATATGCCATTCCCAGGTGATGGGCTCAGGTCCCAGGGACTGTCACAAACACTTAAGATAGATGGTCACTAGAGAGAAGCCAATATCAAGCTTTTCTGTCTGTGAATGCTTTTTGCAGACTTTTGATTGTCATGCCCATTTTATTGTTATTATAAGGTATCACTAGCAATCCAATTAGCCTGTAATTACTTTTAGAGCTTTTCTAGTCACTCAAGTCTCTGGTGTAACATTCTTTATGCTAATCACATTGAAGAGTATCACCTTCACTGTAAAACAACCAGCAAATCCAGCTACGTAACTTTAATTACCTTGGAAATTAATTTTCTTAGGAATCTTTCACAGGCTTTCAAGACCTATCAGGTGTGGGGACACAGGGGACCACAGCAGCAGTACCCATAGGAGGCTCAGGAAGAGGAGAATGTCACCTTCCCCTGTCCATCCAAGGGACCACCAACATCAAATTAACCATCTTCCAGCATGAAGAGCAGTCAGGAAAGAGCACAGCCCAGGGGCACAAGCCTCTCCAGTGTCATCTGCATGGAAATTTGCCTGGAGTCAGTAAATACACAGATGTTAAAACCAAATGCGTATCTTCTCACATCCTGATCGAAGCAAAGGTCTTGTCTCTGCCGTTTACTTAAGGAGCTCTCTGGGTGTCCTCAAGCCACTTAAAACATGACCTGGACCTTTTACCCTGGGCTAGACTGCCCATGACGCCACATAAAGGAAGGGTGTGAAATTTTGGCTGCTCCATCCCAAACTCCAGCTCCCTGGAAGTCCTCATAACCACTGTCCTGCCTTCTGAAGGCAAACGATGTGAGCGAAAGGAGTGGAGTCAGTGTGTTGTGGATTTGGAAGGAATTCCTATTATGCTACAGTAATTCTGGTATCTGGGTTACATTTGAAAAAAGAGGTCAGGCTGACTTGAATTTTCCACGCAGGCTGCCATAGCAAAGAAATCTGTTGCTTCAATTCCTCGTTAGCCATTTGTGTCACTCAACAGCAAATAACTGAGCTTTTGAATTTACCTTATTAAGTTCCATTTGTTGTGGGCACAGTGAAACCAGGGCAGAAATATCTAATTCTTTGGGCATTTTCTTTCTCTTTTAATTGACCTGCTATTTCGTGGTAGAAAGTTGATGGATCACATAGACAGCTGATTATGTTTCCAGTTTGTGTTCCAACTCCTGTATTTGTCACTGCCTCATTATGGATCAGAGGCACACTCTGCATGGAGCCAGTGTGCCAATAGCTCAGGCAGTAATGTGAAAATGAGAGGCTTTTTCATTTCATTTTTATGGTTTTTCCACACTTGGGGGTCATTCACCTGCAGGGTAAAATTTTGCCATGTTTATGGAATTGGGGGTTTGGCACCTTTTGGGCTTGCTTTGGGGAGGGAGGGGCCATAGGAACAGGGCCGTTTTGGGGACCTACTTGGCTAAATGAGTTAATGTGGTCAAGAAATGACGGCGAGATCAGGAAATTATGGCGATATCCACGTCATGGGGTAGCAAGGCTGAGGATGGGGTATTACCAAAGCAGGAACTGTGCCATGCTAAAATATCTACCGCCCATGACATAACTCCTTGCCAGGAAAGATGCAACTTACAAGGGCAACAAGTGCTCCTGACTTCTCCATTTCTATCCCTCTCAGCTGAAGGACCAAGAGGAAGGCAGAGTCTCTGGGAAAACACCTGAGCTGTGCTGGCAGCAGGTGAGAAGGAAAATGCAGGTACTTTTCACAGGGGAATTTCATCTAAGCTGGAAGTGTTTAAGCAACAACCAGGAGACAGCTCTTGCCTTCTGCCCCAGCACCAAATACATGCTGGCATGAGGTGGCTCACACTCATGGGCTGAGTTCAGATCTTTGGCTGTCATATAAAGCTCTTGCCGCACAATCATTTCCTAGCACAGCTCTAGGATAGCTGGCAGGAAAAGGGAAATGAAGAGGCATTGGGAAGGTGGTGCATTAACTACTTTTCACAGTGCGGACTCTGGGAATATGCTCCCCATGGAAGGTTTTAATTGTCTTTTAAAAAAGGCTGTAATATGAAATCTCTTAAAAACATAATACTAACCTGTTAAACTTTTCCAGGCACTGGTTAGCTGAAAAGATGTATCTTTTCTTTGTTTTTTAAACCTTATAAAATAGGCAAATACCAAGAATTATTTGAATAGGGACAAATCATGCCAAGTCCTTACTGACACTCAAGTCTTTTTGCCTCTACTCTGAACTCTTACTGGAGGGTGAAAAAGCTCTTGTGAAGCTCACAGACTTGCCCAAACAGCTTTGGGCCTGTTTACAGGCTTCAAGACTAATCTCATTCTTTGCATTACAAGCCTTCATTTGCAAATGCTTGCTACTCCATGATTACACAAAAGCCAAATAATCGAAGAGGACATGTGCACCTCGGTACACTGGCAAGACTGTGTTAAAACTCTCAAGCAGATGGGATGTTGGTGCTAAAAGGTGACAAAAAAACCATCAAGGGACAGAAGAGGAGGTTTCAGAGATGGTACTTACAGCAAGGATAGCGATGAGGATGCCTGCAGCACACAGCACTGCATCGTTGATAGTCTCCACATTCTTCTGTGGGTACCTGATGCTGTCGTCGTCGCAGTAGAAGCCCCGCTGGTAGGGCTGGATTGTGCTTGTTTCAATGATGAGGAAGGGCAACCCAGCTAGAAAGAAGGGGAGAAACAACCAAACTCATCAGCAATACAGGCAAACACATGCAGATCACAAAAAAACCCCTAACAGACTCAACTTGAAAACCCCTTGTAAACCACACAGCACCGTTCCTGATGGTTTTCTTTCCATATTGTTATCTTTCCAAAGTGAATAGCTTTGGGATTTGTTTTTCCAAGTCAGTCTTGTGAGGAAAAAGCATCTCCTCTGTTATGGTTATCAGATGTCTGTGCAGCCTGGTTTCAGTTAAGCCTTGTGCGTTGCAAATATTAACTTACAGGAACAGACCCCTGAAGCAATCCCTCTGCAAAAGGCCATGAAAACGAATCTGGCACTTTTCTCCAGGGAGGGCCCGATGCTCTGCTGAGTGCCCCATGGCAGGGCAGCCCAGAGCTGTGCAAACAAACACTGGAAGATCAAGTATCCACATGGATATCCTACCTGGTCAGCCGAGCTACACTCCATCCCTGTCACTTCTATGCCTTTGAAGCCTTACTTGGCTTCCTTCTCTCTGTATTTACAGAGTACATGTGTGGTTTTACCTACTAATGTCATGACTACATGCTTTGAGCAGCTCTTGGACACCCATCCTTGACCCATCCACGCAAGGGGAAGCCGAGCAAGAGCTCAAGAGCTGCTGAACTCCCATCAGAGCCTGTTTGCCTTCAATCACAATAAAACCACATGAAATCTGTATTTTAAATACTGTTTGTGAACACTCTGTGCAGCACTCCTGTTTCTGCACAGCTTGGCTGGACCTTTGCACCAGGTATGGTGCAGATCTGCTAAAAAACATGGGTTAGGACACACAGTATGGAGGGATCACCTCAAAATTGCTGGCACATCTGTAACTTCATGTTCTTATCAGTTTTTCAGAGAAATACAGTGTTGCCTCAAACCTGGAAGGAGAGCCCTGGGGTGTTTCCCAGCCACAATCTCACCTTGGGCAGGGCACCCTCCTTCCCTTTGCCTCAGTTTTCCCACCCGTCTTTGCTATTAAGCCCATCACTGAGAGGAGCATTTCATCCCTATCAAAACAAGCCCCAAATTCCCTGAAACCCATGTTCAGAGTAAATCACAAACCACAAGGTACAGGAAACCCTCCTCCCACTTGCAGAGCGAAACCCAGGCAAGGGGAAAACAAATGCACAGTGGTTCAAGCTGTCCTTGGGCCAAGACAACAGGTCTCACACCCAGATTCTGCAGAAAGCAATAGGGAATACTTGTCGACCACTAAATTGCTTAAGTATCTGTGGGTTTGTTTACACAGCTAGAAGTCAAAGACATCAGAGGGTTTTTCCTTCTAAAATTATTAAAAAATATATAAAAAATGAAGTGCTGTTGGGTTTGACCCAAATTTGTCCACAGTACATTTGTAGTGAACACCATCTGCTAGATGTGATTAGCATCCAGGTTGTTCAGAAGTGTCACCAAAATAATGTTCCCCATGCTCTCCACATGAACCACTTCTGGATTTCACTTTGCGCAATCCATTTTGGCTCCTTTTCCTATATGTTAATAGGTTTGCCTAATCCAGGCTTACTATTAGGTTCTGTTAAGTCTTAAGAAAAAACTCCATCACCTGAGAGCAAGGACAACACACACAGACCTGAAGCTTTTCAGGGACTCAATAGTGGTCAAGGCCACTGCTCAGGACCCCTTTCAGATCCTGACTAAAAACTCTGGAAGTGGGTTAATTGCAAGCACTGGGCCCCGTGGTGCTTGGCAAGGCAAAACAGTTTCCACCACATGTGTGAACCACCAAGGAACGGTTTCAGAACTGCCTCCCCAGCTCAGATTTGGTAAATAAAATTGGACATCTCGTGTGAATCCAGTTGATCTTCATTCCAGTATTTAACCATTTTGATGCCTAGCCAGCTTGGCCCCAAAACATGCCTCTGATGCCAACAATCCCATATTAATAGGCCACTTAAAAAATCCTTAGGTTTCCCAATGAAAAATGGCAGAAGAAGCGCTAACGTCGCTCGGCACGATCCGATTTCACATGCACTCGAGGCAGCGGCGTAACAGTTGAACTCAGGGAGTAGACATGCCACAGTTACGTGGCTTATTGTTATTTCTCCAGTTCCTCTTGTTAATAGCTTTCACATGACAGGTCTGTAAAACACATGTTCCCACAGACAATAAAATACATCTGAAAGCTAAAACTGGCTTTTTAAAAAAAAAAATAAATAAAAAAAGACAATAGTGTTCCTATATATTACGCGAATCCAGGAATAATAAAGATTTGTTTTCCCTTCATTCATTGAGCAGCATGGGGTAGTATTTCCACGTTTCAATTATATGTACACTTGCCACAGCTATAATAAGAGCATAAGTGACCTATATGGGACACATTTTCATAAAACACATAGGCATAGTTTAGAAAATCCAATGGGTTTGTTTTCTCTCCTACAAACTTGTGGTTTAGTGGGATATTGCCAATCAAGTCTTGATATTTTTCCAGCAAAACAGTAACCTCAGATTCCCTTTTTTTTTTTCCCTTCCCCCCTTTTTTAACATGAGAAACATAAACATGCTCTCCATAGCTGAACGGATATTACTTAGAAGACATAACATGCCTTTGATTTTGAGGGCTGGAAGAGAGACTGCTCTTTCACTCAAGGAAGAAAAGCCCCCAGCCCATGGCAAACAGTAAATCGTGCTCAAGATGACTCTTCTTCCACAGGGTTATTTCTTGGAGGATGGGTTGTCTAAGGGACTAGGTCACCACCCACATTTTTTTTGGCAAGGGGGTTTCAGCATGGAGATTCCTGTAGTGGTGCCAAAAGGCAGCCAGAGTATGGGTTTTGCAGAAAAAACAACTAGAGGGAAGTCTGGGAGAAGACAGAAAATGAAATGCAGAGAGAGATGCCTTTGAGGATCCCTCAGCAAAACACCACAGAGACATTATTCACACTAGGAGATCTGCCAGAGGCAAAGGTATCCAGAAGTGGGGCTACAGCCCACACACCTTGGAAATGTAAGGCAAGCAGCATAGGTCTGTACCATGAAGATGGAACATCTGGACTCATCACCTCTTCTGCTCCAGTCTGTCTCTCTGATTCAGCATTTGAACAGGAAATTCAGATTGTGTATCCCTGGCTGCAGTGATTTGGATCTACAGATTCAACAGCCAAATCCCATAAAGGTGCTAGGTCTTCAATCTCCACCACTTCCCATGCTACACACAGTACTAAACTATTGAGAATTCAAGAGGTGCATTTCAGAAAACAGTAATGAACGGTGACTTGCACTGAAGTGAACAATAGCCAGGGCAAGCAAAAAATTACACTGATTTTGGGGATGGTCACTCTTTTCCAAAAATGGTCCTATCTGGACATTCTGTCTGTGACTGTGACTCACCTATGTGTACAGACCTACTGCAAAATCTTTAGGAACACTGTGGAAAGGCCTCACACTCTTCTTAATGCTGGTATCTCCATGCTGAGAAATGACACTATAGCCTGTGGACCATGCCATAAATCATAGAGGCAATGCCGGCACATCCATGAAGGACTGTGCAACCAAAAGAGTGCAGCTATCCCCATCTCACAAAGAGGAAACTAAAGCACAAAACAAAGAGATTTGCTTATTCCAATGCAAAAGAGGTAAATGGAGACAAAACTCCTTCTGAACTGTAACATCCTTCACAAGGTGAAGGAAAGTTTTTTTCCATATACAAAGGGGATTTTTTGCTTTAATAACAGAACAAGGAAATCCCAACCACAAGCTTTTATCTATCTATGCTGTAGGAGATCAAACACAGCTCCAAACCATAAGCATAATAGAAATCTCTTGGGGACTGATCCTGCCCCATCCAAATGGGCTCAGCCCTGTTCCAAGTGGCATAGAGCAGGTGTGGACACTAATGAATTGTGAGAGGCACTGCGGGATGCTGTGGGGCTGGACATTGAAAAATGATGTTGCTTTTGTTGGGAGGAAGTCCAAGTGACTTGGTGACCTCTAACTGTTGGTGTCCTCTGCTAAGGTATTTCAGTGCAGGGTTTAAATTTATTTGTCTTTCCATTTAATAAAGCCAATCACGTTTGGAAATCTAGCACCAAGGAAAAAATATTCCTTTCTTTGGTCAGCACCTTTATTAAGAGGCAATTAATAGGCAATAACCTCGGGAAGGTTGGCAGCATGAAAGCTAAAACCCCACCACCAAGCCTAAACAAAACCCCTTGCAAAACCCCCGTGTACTCTCTGACCAGCTTGAAATGTGCATAAAATCAAAGGCAGGAGTAAAAAGGGCTCTGTGTTGGGTACAGCACTTTGAATCTCAGAGACTTGAAAAGCTAGCACTTGTGCAGATTTAATGGGGAAAAAAATTTAAAAGAGGGATAAGCTTTCGTTGGCCACTCATCAAAAAGCGGAGGGAGTGGAGGGGAAGAGGCATTTCTGCAGTGACCCACCCATGTCGCTCTCATCTTCCCAGCCCAACCTTCACCTTTGTACCAAATTAAACACCACTGCCGCCTTCTTTTTAAATGTTTGATTTTGATGGAGGTTGGGTTGTTTTTCCATTGAATCTCTCTTCTTTCCACCCTGCAGGTCAGTGGGATGTTGCTGGCTATCTCAACAAAGCAGTGGTAATTTCTAACAAGCATTCCATGATGTGTTTGCCTGCCTGTGTCCAGGCCCTGGGTGTTTTAAGGTTTCAGTGGATTAGACATCTAGCTTAATAAGTGAAAAAGGCCATTAAATAATTTGGCAGGGCTGAGTGGGGTATCTAATTCCTCATTCAAGGCACACTCTGTAAATATTTGGGTACCTACAAGAGACAAGCTTTCTATTTGAAGTACTTAGTGGCTGATCTTGAGTACATATAAACCTTATTTGGTTTACAATATTTGTACATATTTTTAAATGCATAAAAACTAGATTAGCTTACGGTAGGCTTATATTGGGGCTTTAAAAGTTGGCTTCCCCAACTTTTAGAGAAGAACTGCAGCACTGCAAGACCGGACTTGGCAGCTGCTGCAAGAGTGAATGACTCTTGAAGTCAATTTACATT